AGGTAGGCACAATCTAACTATAAAAATCCCTGAACCAGAAATTGTTGCTTCAACTAAACCCTCAAAACTCAAGCTTACAAAATGGGGGTAGAGTTTATATAGGTACTGCTACCTAATGATTGTACCCATTCTGTCATGTACAGATTCATTGGTGTAGCACTTATCCACCATTCAGGCTGTCTGCCTTTCTAAAATCTTTCCAAGAAAAGCCATTGGAATATCCGAAGACCATTAGCCAAGTTATTCTCAGCAAAGACAAAGCTCACTGATTAGCAGGGAGCTAAAATACTCACCTCAGGAGAATATGTCACTGTGCTGTAGAAAACTTTTTTCAAAGCTGAAAATAGTGTGTGATATTTACAATGGCAACCGTGAATTGAGGGCTTCCTCCTCAGAGAGAAGCTTTTGTTCCAAATTACATTTTAAATGATGATTATGTGCAGTGTTATAATAAACGTAATTATTCTGCCACTTCTATCAAAAATATTACATAGGCAACAAAAGAAATGCTAAGCTGAAGCTGGCTCATGATCCTGTATCACACCTTGACTATACAGCTGATATATCTGATGCATCAGAAAGGTTCAGCACGTTGCGTGAACTTGTGTGCTGTGGTTATGGTGACAGAAAAAATAGCACGCATAAAATCTGATAGGACTGCAGCCATCCCTGTTGCCATTGCTGCTGCTTCAAGAGCTCTAAACAGATTTCTATTTCAGCTTTCAATTATTCTCCACAAATTGAATGCAGCACAGTACATGAACAGCTGGTTAGAAACAAATAATCAAAACATACAGTTTGACAAGTGTGTCATCTTTAGCTTACTTAAAGTTCTGAAGCAACTACTAACATACCAAGTATTTTCAAGCATATTAATTTTAAGACCCAAATTACGAATGCTTTATCTTTGCCAGTTCAGGAATGAGCTGCTTGTTTCTGCATGTGTGTTCATACATCTGTAAAGGAAAGTGGTGCTTTTGGCACTCTCAGACATTTTATTTATGCATTTTCCAGGCGCAGATTAAGAGGCTGCTTCTCAAACTACCCACCATTACTGTGGCCTGTGTCCCCCATTGACATTAGGAGTGGTGTGCACAGAGGGTTTCTGAGAGTTCTAAAAGCATCAAATGGGGTATTGAGCCAAGAGGGAACCAGAGCAGTAAAGAAAGCTCCCTGGAACAATCAGGTTTTGATACTAAAACCCTGGTGTACTGCATGTACTCTTTACCATGTTTACAGGGAATACATGTATATGTTTTAATGCACATGCATTTTCTTCTGGCCCAGTTACCAAGAACAGCAAAATTCTTCTTGCTTTTCAATGCAACACTAAAGAATTTCCAGAAAAATATTACGCTCCTCTGTTGACACACTCAAAATGTGATGAACAACATCCTTAAAGTACATCGATAAATTAATAATCTTCATACAGTGAAGATCTTGGGAGAATTTGGTATTAAAAAACTTCAACAAAGACTGCAGGCACCACCTCTGTAAGACCCCCAAGGGACAATCTGGTGTTTGGTTGCAAACCAAAACCTTTCCATTCTTCTATGCAGAGTTTAATTGTGGTCTTCTATATTTATAAAAGTGGGTTCTTAGTGCGTTGCCACAGCCACACCAAAAAAAAGCTGTTCTTTGAAGGCTTGCAGACATGCCATGGCACACTGTAACTTGGGACAGCAGAAAGCAACATTCAAAGATAAAGCAACACTTCAGGAGAAACAAAGAAGAGAGAAGCAGTTTTCTAGCCAAATGCTCCAACAACAAGGTCCTGCCTGCCGCAGTTACCCATCTTTGTAGGTCAGGTTTTATGTTACTACCTGTCTCTTTTATGCTTGCCCTGTAAAATCAGTCACAAGGGATTCATGAAGTCTTTGACTCGTCTCCTTTTTAAAGGTCAGGGCTCTGCTTTTTAATTGGAAACGCAAAAGGTGAATGAGCCTGATCGTGAACACTGGTGCCCTTCTTATGTGCCTTAGGAGGCTCAAAGACTTCCAAAATACGTTGAGGATTTGTAGGGGTGCCCAGGGGGGAAAGGTGTTATGGAAGTGGTGGCATTACAGATTTATGCAGTTGTTTGTTCAGAAAACAAAGGTGTTGTTTGAGCCTAAGCAATGCAGTGGCAGTCATAGGATTTTCCAGTTACTGTACCTGGACCTGGAAGTGCAGAGTGGCCACCTACATGATTTCAAGCTGATGACAGTATTGACATCCAAATATTTGTTAAATGACTTTTTTTCTTTTCATCAGAAATGTGCCTTTTGATTTTGACAACTCCCTTTTTCCCCCATTGTGGAAAAAAAAAGATCCTTAAGAAGAAATTGTCATTAGAAAGATGTAAAATATTTTGTTTAGCCTTGGTACATACTGCAATATATCTAATGACTGAACAGCTTTGCCTCCAGTATATACATGTTTTGCCTGATCTTGATATATCTGGGTATTACTAGAGTGATCTTCAGCATGGATTCTGAACTGAAATTTAAATTTCTGAATAACTTTTTTGTTCCTAATAATCCCATTATTTGCTTAGATGGAAATATAAAACAGCAGAGAAATACCTTCTCTTTTACTTTTCTTCTTTCCTTTTTTTTTTTTAGCAGTGAATACAGCAACAGCATGTTTGCCAGTTTTCACCAAAGCTCTCATGCACATACACGGTTGCCACCTGTTTAATCTCAGTGCAGGATGTCCAGAATGGAATTTGGAGGGTTGGGTCCATTGCTTTATTTTGCTAAAGCTCGGTTTAGCATCCTCCATTGAATACTTATCTACATCTGTCGTGCCTTCCCTACTTGCTCCCACTAGAGTCCTCCCTGCTTTGGCAAATTTTTGCCTGCCAAAGCACTTCTCTAGTTTATGGACTACATTTCTTTCAATTGCCATTGCTATCTTCAATGTGAGACGATTTCCTGGTATCTTTACGATAACCGTCTCCACAGTTATTGTGTGATATGCTTTTTACCATATCTTCTATTTCTTACACAATTCTCTGAATTGAAATATTAAGAAGCATTAGAACCAAGGGTTAGCTGTAGCATTTTCAGGCACCTTTCTGTCTATATCAGATCATAGTCATCATAGCATTTTTTATTTGATTTTTTGCCTGGATTTATCCAAGATGTTATTGAAACTTTCCCTTATAAAAGCTTTATTGAGGATACATGTTCTATAAGAAGTCTGCATAACATTCACCAGTAATATTTTTTGCTTTTACCCTTTTGCTTATCATATATATGTTTGAACACAACATAACATGAAGACATGAATGGCACGTAATTTCCAGAAACAATTAAGTAGGGTTATGTTTCTCACTGGAGTGTCTTTTCTTCCAAAGACTGCAGAGCTTCATAATTAGCACTCCTTTCTGTTCTTTTTTTTTTTCATTTTATATATTTCATTCATAAAATTTCTTCCAAAAGACCTAAATTACCGCTAATACAGCAAAAAGTCCCAACTGATCGTGTGCAGATGAAAGACCTTGTTACATATCTACACCCTGATTTAGACCAATGATGGAGTGATTTTAGGATTCTCTATTTTATTCAGCATTGTAACATTCTGCCTGACCCCGTCTCTAACGCCTTAGTCTTTCACCTGCACTGAATGACTTCTGAGTGTTAATATATCGCCATTTCCTCTGATGGTTATTTAAAAGAGATTCTGCTTTTATTGCCTATTCCCATCGTAGGAATCATAGCACTCCCTACCTCTTGCTATGTCTAGTCCATCTTCAAGATGCTCAAGCTGCTTCTTATTTCCCATTTTTCAGCTAGCTGTTAAGGTATTTGTTAGCAGTAGTGCCTACCTTGGTTATCCTGAGTTCAGGGAGAAAAAAATACATCTTCTGCCACAAAAATCTTCCCAAAAAGAAGGTTGGATATTGCTGGGTTGCCTGTGACCTTCTTGCATGCCTCCACTTATTGGTCTATAATAGGTGAATAATAACGATCACCCAGGGCTTAATTACATACTGTTGGAAACATATTCAAGACTTTTGGAGAAAATCTGACTCAGGAGTTTTCTGTGCTTTTGCCAGGTACCTGAGTGCACTCTGTTAGCTAATTTCATGCTGGTTCTAAAATGGTTTTCTCTTTTATTCCTTCTCCTACTGAAGTGTCTCTTTAGCTGTGGTAGACACATCTTTGTTCTTTTGAGGCAATTGTAATCATTAGAAAGCATTATCTCTCAGGACTTACTAGACTTCTGCTATTGCCAGAAGTAGAGTAATTAAATTGCCTCATTAGAATGAGGTCCTATGACTATGAAGTCCCTCAGTTCTCTCAGGGAATCCTCTCTACCCTCTGACAGACCATCCCATCAGATCTTTCTCCTTTCACCCTATTTGATGAAACATTTCCACTTAGTTTGTTACCCATCAGTATTTCATGTATTTTACAGCAGCTTACTTCAAGCCTGACAGCTCCTGGGACACACAGCCTGACTGACAGCATCCCAAAAGGCACATTCTGGATGACAGCAGTCCATGCTACCCTTCCCAATGGCAGGGGACACTAGGGATGTGGCTAAGCACATCCATGAGCACATTAGAGAAGCAGAAGTTGAGGGCAGAAAGCAAGAGGCAGCACACACCAGCACAAAGAGGCAGCACACACCAATCTCAGTGAAGTTGCCTAGCTCTTCTCCATGACCCCTCACTCGCCTTTCCGGTGTGTTCCAGGCCTGCTTTCTTTTTTTATGCCCATAGGAAGCATAGGCTCTGCATGGCAAAACCTGCTCCTCTTTGCTCTGTAGAGGACTCCAAACCCCTTCTACATCCCTTCACCTTAAGTCAAGGTGAAGGAGCCAAGAATCCCACACATGTCTGCAAATAGTAATATTACAATGTATTTTGTCACCATTACATGGGAAGACCCCATACTGTGGACACAAAGGTTGGAAATCAGCTATCCCCTGACCAGCCTATCCCAGCACCCTGCTCCCAGCCCCATTACCCTCGGCTGCCCCGCACTCCCAAGCAGCACCCCAGCACTCACAGCACACAGAGGCAGTAAACTCCTGGGATGCTCTCGCTGTCCCGCAGCAGGTAGCTGCCATCAGTACCCGCTGCCAGCAGCAGCTTTTCCCCAGCCTCACGGGTGATGCCACCATGGTAGATGGGCAGCGCATCCATGCTGTGGCCGTCACGCACTGCGAGTGACTCTTCCCATGCGCGGCGTTGCCTCTTACTGCTCCCTCAGCCGTGTGCTCCCCTCAGCATCTCCATCTGAGTGGCAGATGTAAACAGGATGTGTTCACACCTCTGAAGCCTCTGCACAAGGTAAGACAGCACTAAGGGAAGAGTGAAGAACAAGCACAGCTGTTTTGTGTTGTTTTTTCCTTTTCCCCTTTTTGTAAGCTATAACGTCCCAATGGCATCACAGCTCGCACACAGAGGTGTCATTTCACTGCCCACCCCATGCAGCTCCCTGGGACATGATGAAGTACACGATGGCTGTGGGGTTGATGGCTGCCCAGGGTCAGGCAGGGAGGCCAGGACTGTGCCACCATTGTCAGTGCTTGTCTCCTCTGATGTTATCCCAAGGGGAGACAAAGAATAGTGAAACAGGGCCCCGAAATCCTGTGCAAAGCAGGGGTTAAACCTCTTGTTTTTATAATCCCCAGGGGTTTGAAACTGGAGGAAACAATCTGGCCTTGCTGTACGTGCCCCACCAGGCAACTCACCTCAGGTGCCAAGAACAGCCCCTGCTCCATGGCAGCTGCTCCAGTGCCCCACCTGATTTACCTCACCAGTGGTTATTTTCATAGGCTTTGGCGGTGTTCAGTCATTGTTAATGTCAGAGGTGCTCATTAGTTCTGCTTGGAGGCAGGCACAAGCCTCAGTGCAGGCAAGGAGGCCCCTCACATCCTTCCTGACTGCACCGATGCTGCTGCCGCCTTCGTGTGGTGCACGAGCGGGCAGCCGAAATCCAGAGACATGTCTGACAGCCATGTCTCACCTACTGTGGCCACAGGCATTTCCTCAGTAACCTTGTCACTTGAAAGCTCCCAGACGCACGTGTTTGCACATGGGTCTGTTTGCAAACAAGCTGATAATGTGCTTTTATACCTCTGTAGATATTTCCACCCATGGAAAAACTGAGCATGTTTCCTGGGGGTGCTGCCCTCACAACCATGGCTACCAGGCCAGCCCCCATGGGCTGCAGGGAGCTCAGGGAGTAATTCATCCCTGTCTCGAGGCCACTGCACTCCCCAGTGAGCCACGTTCTCACATCTGGGCACATGAATAATAACTCACTAAAATACGGTAATAAGTACAGGCCATACTTATGACTGATTCATTTTAAATTGAGTTTGCTAGTAGGACAGGGCAGAATGAAATCATCTCACCCAGGGGCTCACAGAATACTGTGTCCTGGTTGAAGGATCGATGAAAAAATAACTCTGTAGATACAGACATTTAATAGAAGCAGAGAATGGTTTGGGTTGGAAAGGACCTTAAGATCATCTGGTTCCAAACCCCCTTGCCATGGGCAGGGACACCTCACCCTAGACCCTATTGCCCAAGGCGCTGTCCAGCCTGGCCTTGAACACTGCCAGCGATGGAGCATTTACCACTTCTCTGGGCAATCATTTCCAGTGCCTCACCAGCCTTACAGTAAAGAGGACGGTAAGGCACTATATCTGCCTTACATCTAACCTGAACTTCACTTGCTTCAGTTTCAGGAACAAAAATTCAATTAAAAAAACCACCAAAAATAAGGACTTCTCTGTTTGAGTTTCAATCAACCAAAATGTGTTCTTTCGCTCATTTCACAGTCCATGCCTTTCAATTCTGACCTTTAATATCGTTTTTCCTTGAAAATCTTTTTTTTTTCAACTAGATTTATCTCTTCTTTTTGAAGGATTGGCATTTCTGACAGTGAGCCACAGAGTAGTTCGCACGTGGGGCTCTGCACCAAAGTCACTGAGGGCAAAGTTGCAGCTTCTGGAGGTACTGTGAACCTTTTGCCCTGCATAGAGAACTCAGCAAGTGGCTGCCCCCCTGCCTTGCACCTGAGAAAACAGCAGAAAACCTCAGCTGAAGGACTGAGAGCTTCCACCACCATGTTTATGGCTTTTATCTCTTGTAATGCAGGTGTTCGTTACCCCATTTATGTGAACCTGGGGACTCAGCTATCCTGCTCAGTTTTTTAAACCTGTTTTTAAAGTATTTGCACAAAAAAGGAGAGCTGCTGCCTACTGCAAATGTGATTAATGTGTATGGTGACAAGGTGTAAGCAAAGCATTGTTCTCTCGTAAAGCTGCTACTATTTCTTCTCCTTTTCCAAACTACCTGTACTCTTTGGGGATTTCATCTAACTTTCCCATTTCTTCACCTATTCTCAATATTAGGAGTAGATTTCAGAAAAAGTATGTGTGTAGTTAGCTGAAAAGAAAAAAAAACAGAATCATTCAATTCTGCGGATCTCATTGTCCCACTCATTGGATTTCAACTAATGCATAGGTAGAAAATCATGAAACTTTTAACTATGAGATGCTCTCTTAATAAGGGAGTCACCACATTACCAGTCCAGCCCAGGATTTTGATGAAGCTGTACCTGCTACTATAAAAGAGCTGTAAACACCTAATTTTGCTTTTGTGGGTAAGGAACCCGTAAAACTCCAGCTACTGACCCCCGAAGTGCAGTCTTCCATACAAATCCCTTTATGACCACATTGACTATGCATTGAGTATACACTACTGCATTTTGGAACAAGGCACACTAAGCAAGAGTTGAGGCATGTAGCAGGATAAACCAAACCAAAGGACAAAGGTGCTTCCTGGGCTGAGAAGAGAGAAACTGTGGCACTGCTAGCACAGCTCTGGACCACACCACCAAAGCTGGGGAAATCCTCCATTCTCCCTTCTCCCCCAAGCCATCTTCACTATACCTTTGCAGTGCTGGCACTCAGTCAGACTCAACTAACTGCTCTGGTTTTTATCTCTTTAATCTTACGCATCTGAAGTGTTGTGTGACATCCTATTTCTTACTGCTGCTTATGCGCAGTGGGGCTGAGAAGGCAAACTACAAAGTAGAGCAGCAGGCTCAGGGGAGTATGAGCAACAATAGAGAATCAAGCCTCAATGGGGTGCTGCTCCTGTTTGGACTTAGTTCCCATTGTCTTCTACTGAAAATGGTGATATTTTTAAGCATCCTAAGCCTTGCCCTGTAGGATGCTGAATACTTCTCTTGTTTTGTTTGGAGAGTATTCAGCATATTCTGGACACCAGAGTTTCCTGCCTTCCCTACATCAGTCCAGGTAGCAGTCCCTGCAGTGTACTATAAAAAATTTATCTAAAAGATACATGAAGGAAAGGAAGTACTTAAAAGTGCTCTGAAATATTTTCTCATGAAAAACAGGCTTAAAAAGACTGGCCTGCATGGACCTCTTTTGTCATGAAGTCTACTTCCCTGCAATCTTAACCAAATACATCCCTTTCAGAAACTCATTATACTCCATCCTAAAAGTAGCTTGGTTTTTTTTGTTGTTGTTGTTTCCACTGTTCAAACTGGAAAACAAATGCCGAACATCACTATTCTGCTGCTTGGAAAACAGCTTCCAATTCCCATCCTAAATTTATTCATGACCAATTTATACTCATTTGTTCTTGTGCCACTGTTGTCCTTTAGCTTAAATAGATGGTTTCTCTTCCTGGAGTTTATGCCCATGTGGTATTTATAGTGGCCTCCCTCAACCTTCATTTTGCCAAACCTCTCTCACACTTAAAGCTCTCCCTTTCCATGGTCCCTTTAATCATCTTTTTTGGCAGCTTACCAAAAATGAAGTGAATCATTTGTGAATAGCATGCACTATCTTGGCTGATTTCTAACATGTGCCTCATACGCTGTTACCAGTGTTTCAATACTCTGATGAAAACACCTTGCGTTGTACATTCTGTCTTTCCCCTCTTTATTCTTTTCTTACCTATGAGCCCACAGATATAATAGAAACCTGGTTAACAAGACCTAGATGCATGAACTTGCACTCCAGTCCTTCTGAATTTCATCCAATTTAACCTGTCTTGGTCCTCAAGGTCATTCAGTTCTTCCTAAATGAGAGTTTTATTCTTCTCTGTAGTGACAGTACCTCCCTCCCTTATGTCACTAGTAAATTCCATTAGCACATGCTTATTTTTTATGGGATCATCATTAATAAGAAATGTTAAACAATATCAGGCCCAAGACTGACGCTTGGGAAGCTCTACTACCTTTCAACTGTACTGATCATCAACTCCTACTACTTTCTTATTCACTTTTCAATTTCCTTACTACTAATCTCCCATTTTAACTAACAATTTCCCACATGGCGCTGTACCAAATGCTGTACTCAAGTTTAGATAATTACCTCTGAGTACTTCCTTTGTCTAAAAAAAATCAATTATGATGATATTTCAGGCACCGGAACTTGTAGAAGTACCTGAGAAGTGGAGGTAGGGGAGACAAAATGAAAGTACCTTAAGCTTTCGAACACCTGCAAAGATTTGGGCTGATTTTCATTTTCAGATGAGTTGCTTCATTCATCCCTTGTGATGACATTTTCATACACTGTTGAATTTTATAATAATTCTGACTATTATAACACAAATGCAAGAGCATCATTAAAATCCTTGGATATTGTTATTTGACTGAAAATAAGAATAACCTTCAGGACCTTTATAAAATTAATGCTACAGCAGAACTGTAGTAGGAAGGCCTTGTATAAAGGGCTATAAAGCAAGATAAAAAGTAAAATACCTGTACTGGTAGTTTTGCTGGGACAGCAGTATTATCATAAATGCCATCCCTGCAGAAGCACTGAAAAAGCAGCTTCAAAACCAGCAGCTATAGCAACGTTTTTAAAAAAACTATTTAACTGGCAAAATGCCACATTAAAACAAAGCTAACTTTAAATATGATTTGCATTGTTTCGTGTCACGTTCATTTTTAGTATAATCTAACAAGATATTCAGAACAACTATATAAAATAGTATCTGCAGACAGGCACTTGCTCTTTACATAAGAAAATAATGCTGAGATTCAGCAAAAATTGGTTATTTTACAGAGTACCTGCAGAGTCACCATTATCATGATCCCTTTTTGAGCTGAAATGAAAGAGGTTAGAAAAAGCAGCCTACAATTAGTAAATGTGTCATTAGCTGTAAGGTTCTGAGCATCAATACAGAGAGAGAATTCAAAAAAGTTTTGGCTAGTTCACAGATTTGCACATATTTTTACAGCCTCCATGTTAGTCATGATATTCTATTTATGTTGCTTGGGGGAAAAAGGTGGGGGAAAAAAGAAAGATGGTTATAATAAATAAAGTTGGGATGCAGGTGAGGATTCTAGCTTTATACTCCAGGATGCATACATTAGTCAGATTTCATTCACTTTGAGCAAGACCAAGCTGTAAAACTGCACAGAACTGCTCAAACATTTGGGCACTTATGCAGGTGATTGCAGATCCAGGCTTTTGCCCCCTTCAAATTAACATACAGCCCAGGGAAGATCTCCTTATCTCAGAATATTAAGTCCTCAAGTGGCACATTAGCTACTATGAGAATTTCTGCTCAATGCTCAGAACTTGAAAAAATAAACTCTCATCACCTGGAAATTGGGTGTTTGCTGCCATCGATCAGGGTTGATTCTGGGGAAGGACTGAGAATACAAAGAGTTAGGGACCTTTATGAATGAAACTCTTTCATACTCACCAGCATTTGTCTTCTGAGCACAGGTAAATACATACATACCATAAATGACGACATTTCACCGAACTTTAACAATATAATTTCCTCTGTGTGGTCTCACTGCTTATCTGTGCAGTTGTTTTGAATGCTTTATGAACGAGATAACACTAAAATTGAAAGCTATACAACGTGGGGAAATTCATATTAAAAGTTACCTGTGCTTTAGTGTGGTTTGTTTTAACAGTTAATATTTCATACTTCTTTCTCCAGAAGCATTGCAATAGTTGGCTATTTTGCAGGTGCCTGTGCATTACTAAGCGGAGATGCCATTTGCGATAATGTCAGCATGAGCAAAACTACTCATAGAAGTTTGCACCTTTTTATTTTCTGCTATTACTCTTTCAACGTTTCCTATAAAATTCAGCAATGCACAGGTAGTCATATGCATTAGGCACCCAGCTGCTCTGGGGATCAGGACCTCCATGTCTTTATGATTTAACTAAATCAACTTCAAAGTTGACAGGGCAAAATCATGTAATGATGCTTTCAGGGTGGAGTAAATGTCCATGCTGGAGCTCTTCTTGGAAACATTCCTGTGCAAGCAAGTCTGGAGCTGAATATAAGCTTTCGAAACTCCATTTCCACACAATACACACACAGTAGTTAAAACTGATTTGCTGACATCCCATCTGAGCTCCTAACGGATATTTATCTGAATTACAACAGCACTATGTAATTAGGCATAAATAAAGGCCTTTGTTCTGGAGGGGAGGAAGGTTTACCAATCCTGAACCATATGCAATTGCATGTCTAATCTCTGCCTGTAATTATTTCAAATGCACATCCAGATGATAGCATTTATATTCATTCTGAGATTCACTGAGTTTGAGGCCAGAAGGGATCATTATACCATCTGGCCTGACCTCCTGGATATCACAGGCCATTACATTTCCCCAGTTACCTCTATATTGAGCTCTGTAACATGTGTCTGACTAAAGTAAAACTATTTTTGACTAAAGCTTATCTCCTAGAAAGGCATCTAGTCTTGATTTGAAGCAATCAAGAGGAGAGAATCCACTACTTTGTGGGTATTTTGTTCCACTGGTTAATCATACCCACTATTAAAAATGTAGGTCATGTTTCCAATTTGAATTTGTCTGGCTCCAGATTCCATCCTCTGGATCTCATTATATTTTTCAGAGCTAAGTTAAAAAGCCCTTTGATACCCATTATTTTTTCCCTGTGTAAGTGTTTATTCTCTGAAGTCAAGTTGCCTCTCAAATATTTTGTTTTGTTTTTTCTAATAAGGCTTCACTGAACTCTGAAAACACGCAGGGTAAAGTGCTTTCTCCGATCCTTCTTGTCTGTGAATTTTTAATCTGCCTGATATCTATTTCAGCAGTGCCCAGCCTCTTCTCACGGTGTCAGTAATGCACACAAGGAGTGCAGGGTCTCCACTGTCCTGGAAGCACATACTGAATTGCTTTCCTGTTACAAACCTCCAGTTTATACTGAAGTCTCTCCTTCCCAGTACACAACTGTAGGGTGAAGGAAACTACACAGTGCTGAAGTTTTGTAAATACAGAATTCAGCATGCACCATTTGTTCCCAACTGGACCAGTTTATTGTACAATCCAGGGTTTTTTTTATGCCTGGACTCACCTTATCATCATACACCATCAATTTGTGGTGATGCACAAACTGCTTCATCTGAAATCAAGCATTGCTCATGGTAAAATAAAAATGTGCTGTGTGCACATTCCTGTTTCCAGCTTGAGTTTTTAGCATTTTCAGATTCCAATCATAAATCTATCTATAACAGCACAAAGGGAAAATATACAGATAAATATCTTATTTTTCTTTTAAGTTTTAGGCTTTAGAGGGTTTCTTAGCTAAGTTTAAACTAAACAGCAGACAGTTCAGTACTGCCCTGCACGCATTCTCGCATTGCACTGCAGAGAGATTTTTCATGTAATGAATCACTCAAAATCTATTGTGGTGATGTTACATTGTGCAGTACAGGGAAATACACACACTCTCACTCTGAATATTTTGCATAGGGAGCAGGCTAGCAGCGGACTTCACTGCATGTTCATTTTGTAAGCCAGGCTGTCAACAAAACAGACACCATCTCAATGAGAAAAATGAACATGTTCTTGTTATACTAATTGTTCTTTGAAAGTTTTGCCTTAGTATTTTAGGCACAGAATGCTTTTTTGGCCTATATCACAGCAACATGAAAAATTACATTTCTGTCCTAAAAAAACACCTCAGAACTGATGACGATGTCTGTACACACACACACACACACATATGTTATGCTTATGTATTTTAAAACACCTGTGTGTATTAAATTTCTGTCCTGGGTTCAGCAGTAGCAGTCATTTTTTCCTCCTTATTAGTAACTGGTACAGTCCTGTTTTTGACTTCCAGCCTGGGAACAGCACTGATAACACCGATGTTTTTAGTTACTGCTCAGTTAATGTTTCGTCTGACCAAGGACTTTCTGAGCCTCATGCTCTGCCAGGGAGCACGGGAAGCCAGGAGGAAGCAGAGACAGGACACCTGACCCAAACTGGCCGAAGAGGTATTCCATACCACAGGACGTCATGCCCAGGATGTAAACTGAGAGCTACCCAGAAGGGCTGGTTCACTGCTCAGTCAGGCTGAGTATCAACGGGTGGTATTGTGTTCTCTTCCCTTGTTATTTCCCTTACCATTATTATTATTGGTGGTAGCAGCAGTGGTTTGTGTTATACCTTAGTTACTGGGCTGTTCTTATGTCAATCCGTGGGAGTAACATTCCTTTGATTCTTCTCCCTGTCCCTCCAGGAATGGGGGAGTGGGGAGGAAGGGGAGGAGTGAATGAGTGGGCTGTGTGGGTCTGAGTTACTGACTGCACTTAAACCACGACAATTTCCCTTTCTTTTCTCACAGATCCTGAAAAACTCACTCATTAAGCTTTATCTTTTCCCATTGGTGAAAGACTGCAATAGAATTACTTTGCTTCAGCCTAGGAAAGAAAAGGTGCATTGAACTCAATGCCAGGCTGTACCATCAGTTCATAAGCTACACTGATAGTAAAGTGATTAGAAGTTCTAATCTCGTTCTGATTGACATGAGCAGTAGAGCTGTCTTGCTTGGGGTGAGAGCAAGAGCAGGTGAAACTCCTCTGGGCAGAAGCATGTGTTTTTGGAGAGCAGCATTGTTTAGGCAAGTACTCAGCATTTGACTTCTGTTTAGACCCTTCCCACGCTGTACGATGCATAGCACAAGATCAGCAGAGCCCTGCAGATCTGGCATCTCCAAAGGAGCACAGTGAAAGACTGTGGGTGGACTAAACCCATGTCCTTTTAATTTCACTATTGACTGCAGAGTAAATCAAATATAGTGGAGAAAAGAGCAAATGAAATTGAGCTGGCCAAGACAACAATATTTACATGCCAAGAGAGGCTCTTACTCCTCATATGATTGTCACAGCTCTGTGCTTTTGAGGCCATTCCCTAAGGCAGATGTGGGTTTTTCAAAGGTTAGAAGCAAAGCAGATGAAGCCTGCGTGAAGCAGAGGATCCACCAAACTCTAGGTCACTGCTTTCAATCTATACCAGATGGGTACCCCCTGATAGCCAGCGCTCTCATGCAAGTGTCTCCAGAGAACCATTTCTCCCTTGGCTGGCATACTTGGGCAGCCACATAGATTGGGAAGCTGTGTCCCAAGCATGGCTGAACCCTCCATGTCATGGTCAAGGTGAGCCAGATGGACAAGAGGAAGACTGCATGTGGTAGCTTGCTACTCTGTTTTAAAATAAATTAAAATGGCACCGAGACACAGAGTCTGCAAGGCTGAAAGGAAAGCCTTTACCTTTGCCTCCCCTGATGGGTCTCTTGGCCTGTGGGTTACACCCAAAGTTGAGGTGGCAGTGGCTTGTGGGGAGCATCTTTGAGGCATTAAAGACTTCATCCTCCTGAGTTCCAAAGAGGAAATTTTATTTGGAAGTGAAACTTGCTGCTTGACAGGACATAACATACCCATGAAAGGTTGTTAGCAGATCAACATGAGGTGGGTCCCAAGACCCAGCCAGGGTAAAGAACAGAGCCTCCCACAAGGCTGCTGCCTGTGGGACTGGCTCCTTTAAACCAACTATGAAATACTTCACACTTGTGTCTATTTTTAATGTATGTAACCATTGTGACTCCCATGGGGATGGTGTCTAAGCACCCTGATGGTGTTTAGGGACAGCATTATCATCCTCCCCTCTCCCTGGGAGCTCATATCCCTTCTTTTTCTGGGGGAACTGTCCTCTAAAATACAACTGAAACCCCTCACTTCTGGTGGTACAAGGAAAATACATACGAAAAAATAAGAGAATAGATCAGTTAGATAAATTTTTTACCCAGTGATTATCACAGATCTCCTTACAGCAAAAAAGTTATCTGTGTCTGAAAACGTTGCATTCAGGCTTTGCAACCTGTAGTTCAAAAAAATGTAAACATCAGGGCATTAAGATTTAATTGCTTTTTATATTCTCTGTGGAAGCTTTTACTATGAAGTATTCATAAGCACGTTCAGGGCTGGCCAAAAAGCACATTACAGCTTTGCTTACAGAGGGATGCACTCGGGAACATTTTCAGGCACCAGGCTGCAGTGACCTGCTCTCCGGAGAGACCCCATCCCACTGGGCAGGAGCAGTGCAGTGGCAACAGGTCAGTCAGGGACCATACTGCTGCCCAAGTGCCCAGTGAGGAAAAAGTGCCAACCCTTTCCCACTATGGGCTGTAGTAGGCACATTATTCTTTTTCTGCTAAATTTAGATGTTTGAATTCAACCTCCTGCTCTTCTTTGACAGCTAAAACAGGCAGAAATCTCCTCTCTGAGATATTTTCCTAGCTCAGAGTTCTTCATCAAATAGAAGAGGATTTTCCCCCACCAAGATTTTGTAGTGCAAATTTAAAAACGAAGTACAATTCTGATTGCATTTTCATTTAATTAGTTTTTATATAAATATTTCATATAATACTTGCCTTTTTGTGTTGTTCAAACTTTTGCTTTACTGTTCTTCCCACAATATTTTCACTCATTAGTTCTTAGAGACAGTAGGATAATCCTGGCAGACTTCAGGGCATCATAATTCCTTTTCATAACTTTTCAAAGATCTCCTCAGTCTTTAAAAAATTTCAGAGATGTAAACTTAGCTTCTTTGTGATAACTGAACATCAACTGAGAAATTACTGAGTGAAAAAGGGAGAAGCAAATTAAAGTACAAGAAATGAGATCATTCTAGACAGCATGTTTCATTCAACAGAAGGAAAAGAAAAGAAAACCCACAAAATGTGTGCTTTTCCCTTGGCTGAGCCATGTCCAGATTACAAGACAGTGGAAATGTTCCTCTTAACTTCCAGGCATTTGAGGTCAAATAATTTCATGAAGTATCACATTTTTAGCCCACTCCTTTCTTGTCAGCTGTGCCCCTTCAAACAAGTCATGTCTTTTGTAAGAGGGTATAAATGCCCCCAATTTGACTAAGGTCAAAGTAGTAGTAATAAATCATAGGCATGAAACCCCTTCTGATTCAGCATCTGTAACACACTCATCTACCTTAATCTTCAAGAAGAAAGGTCTGATGCTTAACAGAAGTCTCCATGTTCCTAATTAGTTACAAGAAGGTGAAAGGAACGTTTATGGAGATAAGATTATGTGCTTTCTTTAAATGTCATTCTTCACTTCCAATGGCAAAGGTATGTAGGGGCAAAGTATTTATAGTACCATCATAAAAAAAGACATCATAATCCATTTGTTCTACATAGTTGGTGCTCTATTAATACAGTATATTCACTGCTGCCTTGATCAGGGGAAATCTAATAACATGAAACCAGATCACTAATTTTTGACTTCTTACTTCTCAGTTTCCTACAAGGAGTAAAGAGCTGTCTTACTGAATCCTTTTTAAATTACATTCACTGAAATTTATACAGTAAAACTCATTCAGAAGATTATTTCTTTATAGAGAAAACATGAAATTGCCTAAGCCTAGAGCAGCATCAGGAACAACATGAGACTTTAGTACTACAAACCAGATCACTTGCTAGTAGGTATCAACATTTCTCCAGAAAATAGTACCCACTAGTATATAATGTGCATCCACCTTTTTACTGCCCAGAGGCAAGATTTTTTTCTGGCCCTTCAGCTTATTCTCCCTGTTAGCACAAACTCTGCTTTTCCTCTCTCTTCCTCTCACAGAACATTACCTCCCACACCTTCACTGTGCTCTCCTCAGCTTCACAGAAACAGAAACCTCCAGACAGCTAAAAGAAATAAAGTCAGTCCTCCAGTAATAGCTCCTGGTCTAGCTGAGATGGTGGTATTACTGTATTTTCTCACTGTATTTAGCTTCCCTGGCACTTCCCCCATGACAGGCAACATGTCCCCTTCCACCTTGATATACTGCAGTTGGGCTTAGCAGGCATAGATGCAGGAGAGGTCGAGAAGAGCTGAGGCACCGTTGTTTTCTTTAGTTCTGCCTATTTATCAAAGTACTTTTATGGTTCCTCTCCAAGCTCTATCTAAGCACTACAGGCAATCAAAGGCTGGCTCTATGGGAGAAGGATTTTATTTTGCAAGAGAACAAGTAGAATGTCAATACCTCTCATGGATTAAAACAACCAGCCAAGCCAATGCTGGGGGTATTTCCCTCACCTGACCAAATCTGTTTTGTTCAGTTAGAGAAAACAGAGATGAAAACTGCATCCAGGTCAATGGATGAAGACTGCTGTATCACCACAAACTAAAGAAGGAACCCACTTTGGGTAAAATAATGCTGAGAAATATATGTTTGTGAAATAATTTAAGATCCCTCCATGTAAGCTGCAATACATAGTCTTGTATATACATTTCTAAATAACCTGTATCTCATATGCAGATTTCAGTCATCACACAGCACTCATTTCTACTGTGCATTTGTATATACAAACCTATGGCTTTTTCAGTTTGGAGTAGGTATTCCAGAGCCACAACCTCAGCCTGGTTTTACAACCTGATCTGTAATAATGCCCCAGCAAACCACATCTCTTTATATGAAGACCAAGAAACTATTTTTGCTATCAAACAACTTTATAAGCTATCTTAAACCACTCTTTCGTTTCATTTCTTCATCTTCCCCTCTAACAGTTTTTTAATACATTTTGGTTCGGATCTTTTATAAAAGTGAAATTAAACACAGTGCTGTGGCTCAAATATGTAATACTCATCTGCTCTGGCTGCTGAGAGATGTCCATCTTCTTGATTCCTTGGGCAAGATATGAGAGAAGAAAGAATCTAAGGTTCCAGATTAGCTACCAAAAATTGAATAGCTGTCCAATTATTATCCCAAAACTGGAAAGGTCAACAGCCCCATGCTAAACATGGGTTGTTTTTTTTTTCTTGAAGCAGTTCAGGACAAAATTTTCTGGCTATTGTAACCATAATGTCATTTAAACTGAGTTTCTTCTGAATGTAATTTACTGCCGAAGTTTATTGAGCTTATTTTAACACCATAGTGGGAGATTAAACTATCATTCTAAATATTTTTATAAAGGTTACATTAGTACATTTTGTTTCTTTATTGCTTTACTGAATGTCAAGGTGCAGGGCACTCAGTGAAGCCTGACAGTGACTAAGAGATATAAAGGTCATGTCGAGTACATTTGCTTCAAAAGTTCAACCTTTGTTTTACCTAGGAAATTATTCACAAATTACTGCCTACAATAAAAATTAATACAAGAAGACATCATCCACACCCAGAGCACCAGAGGCACTATGGGAAATTCTGACATGGGGAAACCCACCAGTCCTCAGCGTTGTCTTTCCAGTTTAGTTTCAGTGGTGTTTTAAATTCAGACCTGAAGCTTACCTCTGCCTTCATGGAGCAACACAAGCTTGTCAGCACTCCCTTTGATCTCCAGAGCCTGGAATCTTTCTGCAGGCAAGACCAATAATAAATATTAATATGCAAATTAACTATTAACAATAATAAAATACATGACTGGCGATAACATAATAGGTAAAAACAGTAATATATTTACTTTGAAGAATGTGTCTCTCCTCGACTTGCCCCGAGCACCCACACACATCTTTCCTTTGTCATAAGCGTATCTTAAGATAATCATTTAAACATGAATTTTAAATACGCATCATCAATTGAAAATATTTTTTTTGTCCACATCAAAAGAGAAAATTTGTCATAGCAGAGTTTAAATTGAATTATGAAGTATTTGGTTAACAGGGCACTTGACTTTTATTACAGATGAGTATATCATGGTTACTGCAGTTTTAATCTTCTCAGGGTTTTTTCAGGAGCAGCTCTGAAGTCATTAGCACTTGAGGGTGTTTAAAAATTCAGAATGTGAGTAGAAGCAGGGCAGGGTGATCATTTGTGATAGGAGGGGGAAAGAAGTATTATAGCGTGAATGAACAACCAGTTCTGGTTCCCCGGCACCAGCATCACTAGTGGCAGCACTGGGGCTGCTGGATTTCATTGGTGAGGTACTGCTATGAGCTGTGCAAGCCAAGCTGCTCACCGTTGCATCGAGACACCGCAGGGTCTGACGTCAGACTTCAGCTGAAAGAAGTCATCTGCAATGGCTGTAGAAACAAGTCCTCTGCTGAGAGAAAGATCATCATCAGCTTGGGCAGGGAAACACCATCCTCATTTTCTCCACCATTCTTGCCCTCCTCCCCACAAAGCACTGCACCTTTGAGCCCTCAACCCCATCATGGGTGGCTGAGGCACCAGGATTTCCTACAGCTCCAAGCCCTTTGGCACACCCCTGCACAAGGCACAAGAATCGTCTCATGCAGGCAGGTCTCCTGCAAGCCCAGACAGCAGAGGGGCCATCACTGCCCTTTGCATGGGCCACCAGGAGCCCAGGGAAACACCACATGCCTGCAGCGTTTTGAGCAACTGGAGAAGTATCCGACAGAGTCCAGCAGCATGCCACCTTTGCAGAGCTTCCCAAGCTTAAATAAAAGAAGCCTTTAGTGATAGTGTTCAAGCCACAGAAGCTGTACAGGGTGAGACACTTTGGGTCTCCTGGTAGTGTGAGCTTTTCTGTCACTTCTTGCCTTGCACTGTTCACCACAGGTGAAATGAAGAGCAAAAATCAGAAAACAAGGGAATTCTGTGCAACTGCCTGAGAACACCATTCAGCAAGATGTACAAACCCACTTGACTATGGTGCCAGGTAGCTTTTCAGCTGTGCAGTGTGATGGCCTCTCCATACCCCATTGAATGCACTGAGTGGTCCTCAGGAAACAGGTCTCACACCTTGTTTTTTACACTGTGTGCTTTACATTTGTTGAGATTTGATTCTGTTGGTATGAGGTTTGACACAAGAGCAAAGATGATCAACTGAAAAAACAAAGTGTTGCATGTCTACACAATGGGGAGTGAAGAGCTCAGCCCCTGTGAAAACCAATGCGATGCAACAATTTAGCACGTTCTGCAAAAGATGACACTGGACCACCTCTGATTGCACCAAAACTTGCTTTCAGCTGAACCAAAACAGGGTTGCTCTTGTTATTTGAAATGGGGTTTCTCCAGTGGGAAGAAAGCATATTGTGCTGTATTTCTTATTATGCCCTTTTTTGGCTATTTTCTTCTATATCTGGCTTATCTTCCTGTTTTTCCTGCCTAGTCTACATAAGGTTTCTAGGGTGCTGCACATCTGTGTACATTATCAGATTACAATGGCCTGCTACTCTTGAATGTGCTGAAACTTGAGAAGTTTATTTTCAGTTTGACATCCCAAGTAAATGAAGATAATTTTTAGATCAAGAAGTCTTTCATTTTGAATTTCAAATATATAAAATTCCTTTCAGTGAAACACATGAGCCTCATGGAAATGCATGAGCCAGAAAGCAAGAATTCAGTAGGTGCTTTTTCTCCTTTACAATTTCTTCGTCATTACAACAACGCAGCACACTGGAAGTAAAAATGAAGAAGAAAAATTAGAGTGTGGTTAGCAAGGGGGATATAACCTAATACCAGCCACTATTATATTTCCACATGCTGCTTAATGAATCAATGCTGGCAGGAAAAAAGATTGCTGGAGCCTGAGGCAGCTAGTAACGGCATGTAACATAACATGCGTTTCCTTTTAGGTGTCATTCTAAGAAGTTGGTACGTACAATTTCTAGTTCTAATGTAATGAAAGCGGAGGGTGATGCTGTCAAAATGAGAAATTCTGGTAGCACGGCTTGAAACAACACGCAGCCAGTCCGTTAGGCGCTGGGCAAGCCCTCCTAGAGTAGCACTGGGAGCAGGATGGTTGACCCAAGGCTGTGTGCCTCCCCACCATGGGAACCGCCAAAACCCACCACCACCAGCAGCTGAAGAGATGTGAGACAGGTTTAGAAACGAATGTGTGAGCTGCTCACACAACATGTAACTGAAAGCATGCAAGCATCAACTGCTCCTGTCAGAGCCTGCACAGCCTGGAAACAGAGAATGAACATTAATGAAGTGCCATGGATGGAAATGCCTCCTGGTTAGCAGAGACACTGCGGGTGCTGCATGGCACCACCAATGGCATCCATCTAAAGAAAACCTTACTATTTGACCCCATCATCATGACGTATCACATCCATATTCCTCCCACTCCAGGACATTTGACTTTTCTTTGGCCTCATCCTAGCAGCTTCACCTATATGCATTCAGCACCCTGTGGGTGCTGTGATTACCTCTGAGGTACCATCCTTCCTCCCCACCTGTGGCCACCTCCTGTATGCCCAGCTATGCTCTCCAAAGACCTCATTGGTATGTACAGCCTGTAATCAGCAGTGAAATACTTCAGGATTCATTTCAGTGGAGGATGTAAGGCTTGAATTGCATTATATTGTCTGGTAATTAATATCAAGAAGAGATTCTGCACAGTGCAACAACAGCCATAAAATTGCTTCAACCACATGGGATGCAGAGAGAATAAATGACAGGGTATGACCATTATTATTATTGGTTTTTTTTTTACTTCTGCTAAATCTTACAACATCCTTTATGAACTTCCTTTCAAAATGACTGCTTGGCAGAAAATGGAACTAAATCTCTAAATGGGGCATCATGTCATTTCAGAAGGGCTTAAGGCCAGCCAGTTCAGTCTTTAAGTACCATCTCCCAACCTGCTCCCTGATAGCCAGGGAGAAGTCCCTGCGCTGTGCAGTCTGCCAGATGCCATGGCTGTTCAAAGAGGGAAAACAAGCTGGAGCAAATGGAAGGGTGCTGCACAGGACCAGAAACGCCAAATGACCTGGTGTTGTGGAAGGATCAGGTTTAAAGACTAATTTCTCATGAGCTGCAGTCAGAGAACCTTAATAATATTGCGGTGGCAAAGGAGCATGGCCCTGCCACAAATCTCCTGTGGTCTTTCAAATACCAGTCCCACAGTGACAATAACGACAGCCACTGGTTTGTGTCCTTTGACTATGAGCCAGTTCATACAATTAATAACACAACCCTGCCCAATCAACAGAACGATCCATCCTTGCCCCTAGGTACTGATCATGTGTCAAGACAATTAATTGCAGCAATGTACTATGTGAGGAAGGCTGCTCCTAATGTCAAATGTGGCAGTTTTTCTGAAGGGCCCAAGGTGAGGATCATCTTAATATCCTCCCTTACAGGAATACTACATGAGAGAGGAGAACTTAGTCAACACGAGACCTACAAACAAACCTCCCTGTTAGGTTCAAACCCACAAGATCCGGAGCACCCACCACCTCACACTGAACAGAATCATGCTTATCAGCAAAGGTTACAATTTTCCACTTAGATTGGATCAAATCTGGATGGCTAAATTTAAAAGCTGATCACCACAAAGGATTTTCAAGATTTTTTTGTTTTCTTCCACCAACTTTGCTAGCTCACAAGAAGCGTTTTCCCTGCAGAAGATTGGTCCTGTACCAGGGAAGGATTGTCACTGATTTTCATAGAAACATGATCAGATCTTCCATTAGTCACCATCTCACTGGGCATGGAATTGGGTGCAGATAAGGGGAGCTAGCAGGGAGCCTGAGAACCCGGACTTTGACCATAAAAGTGAGTCACTATGTCAAAGTGGTCTTTGTTTCCCTTCACTTTCTCCTTCTCTTTTTCCTCAAAGTAAGAGGGGAAAAGTCAGACAGGGTCCACCCAAGGATGGCAGAGCCACCTCCCCAGTTCAACCTCCCAACATCTGCTTCTGGCACTGCTCCACGCTGCACACAGCTGAGGGGACACCCCTTCTCAGGTGAGGGAACCAACTCATATGGTCACAATTTCACGAGAAGCACCCACAACCTTTTTGACCCCTCTGCAACCAGGGCTAGCTGGTTGTTGGCAGGATCCCTCCATAAGGGTGGAAAGCAGCCCCGGCAGCAAGAACCATGGCAGAGGGTTTGGTGACTGGAGCTGCTCTCTCACCACTGCTTCACCTTGTATTTTGATTTCTCACTTTGACTCACTGCTCCCAATCATCATTGTCATCAATAATAAGAGGTACTGAGGCACATTTTACAAATGCGTGCTCTTAATCATCTTGATATCCGAGAGGAGCCTTGTAGATAAGAAGGGCTGTTATCTCCATTTCACAGAGGCAACGTGAACCCTCTGCACAGGATGACTGCAGCCACACAAGGCCCCAGGAGCAGCGTGCAGACATCGCACTGTGCAAAACTGGGGGGATAAAAGTCCTTCTAGTGCTGCAAAGGGTGGATTTAACCTCACACACTGTTCTAGGGCCTGGTGAGCTCTTCCAGTACTCACAGATTCAAAATAACCTTTCCCCACTTTGTCATACCTCTCTTTGGCTCATCCGCACCAGCAAAGGACACATTCACCCTTCCTGGCTCCTTTGGTATATGCTATTGTGAGTCAAACCCTGCCTGGAAAGTGTTGCTCTCCTACTCATCCCACTGTGAAAGGCCACCCGTGCCCTAGTCACCCAT